AACTTCTGTTCTGTTCTGACTATGTGGTGTTGACAATAATAGTACAATAATAATAGTGGTATAATAATATTATTGTGTTTTATTTCTGAGAGTGTATTATTTTGATAGTAATAGTGGTAAAATGCATTGCAAATACAGGCACTCAGACTACAGCAGCGAGTGAGACTACAGCCACCACTGATGAGCCTCTGACCTCTACGCTGATCAAGCCACGGCCAGCCAAAAGGCCTCGGTTAGCTGAGGAGGAGTAAGATGAAGGGGAAAACGAAGGGAAAGACTCCTCAGTGATCCTGGAACCACTTGACTCCACATATGAGCCTGACCAAACTATGACAGATGTATCGGAGTTCTCAAAGATTCTGTAAGTGTTGATGGTTGGAGAACAACAACATCATTGATGTGCAGCTTGTTCAGGTTAGTAGATCCTTATATGAAAATGGAACAATCACACGCTGTTGGAGCCATATTCAAGATTCTTTGAATTTGTTGTTTGTTTGCCTGGTAACCTGAAAAAGAAAGAGATTTTACATTCAATATTGCAAATACTTACCAGCTACATATAAATACTTACCTGTGTAGTGATTTGAAATGAGCCTCACACGGTCGCAACAAAATATATGTAGCGGTTGAAATGAGCCTCACAAGGCCGTACCAAAATAGTACTGTAGCGATTGGAATTTATAATAAATGTCTGAAGATTAATAATCTCAAATTATGACATTTATGCACTCGTTGAAAGGGGCACCACCCACCCTTAATGGTGGGAAAATAAAGAAAACAAAAGTTTAATTCAGAAATCAAACATCAAGTCAGTTTTAATTAATCAGTCTTAATTAATCAGTCTTAATTAATCAGTCTCATATCTTAAGTCGAAATTCTAATTTCAGGGACTCCACTTCTGGAAGAACACTAACAGACAGGAACTTAGAAAAATAATGATCTGTTTATTACAGGATAAATGATGGTACAACACACATGCAATAAATGATGATAAGATAATGAAGATAAATAATAATAGGTGAATAAAAAAAAGATTCTGAGTCAGGCTAGGAGCAATAAAGTTAATGATAGTGAGTGAATATGCGCTAACATATTAACCTACACTAACTTTGGTGTCGAGATAACTCGGATGTGGATTTGGAGGAATCTAAGATCACCAGAAATAGGTGGATATCTGAGTTATGAACGCATGAGACAGCATCAGCCCTCTTTGGAGCTCTGGAGGTTTGCATACTTAAGTGAGGCTGGTCCTTGGAGAAGATGGAGCAGGTTCCGAAGGTCCGGGCTACTGGCGGTTCGAGCGGTTCAGCTCAGAAGACGACTGAAGTCAGCCGAAGGATGGGCCAGGAGTTGCAACACTCGGGCCCGAAGCAAAGCCAGCGCCTATGGATCCTGTGGATGCTTGTTTGGGTACTTCTTTGGTCTCACTCAAAAACTCTGGCACAGAGGATGACCTGGGCCTGTTGGGTTGCGTTCGGAGGTGACTTTGAAATCACGCAGAAAACTCAGAAAAACGAGGCTCGAAGAGCAGAGAAAACTTTCAAAAATGGCTTCGCGAAATTAAAGAAAAATCAATCAAAGGCTTAATCTTGAATTGCTATGTGCACAAAAAGTTGAAGTTTCAAAACTTGAACTAAGACGATGTTAAAGGAAAATCAACGTGAATCAACACGTGGCGTAAAACTTAGAAGACTAAGAAAAAGTTCTAAGAGAGAACAAAGAAGAAGAGGACCACAGAAGGGTGTGGGCAGAAGAGAAGGGCCCAAGAGTAAGGGGCCTAAGAGAGACAAGAGAGTCAGCACACAAGAGAGAAGAGGAGCATAAGAGAGTGAGCAACCCCACTTCACTGGTTTTATCTTCTCACACTGGGAGTGTCTCCGGGGTGTGTGTGAAGAGAAAGGAGGGGTCGTGGAATCTCTGATTATTTGATCTAACTTATTCTTTTGGCTGGTAAAAGAGTCAGATCTGATACTCACTCACTATGGTTAATATCATTGAATGCTTGGTTTCATGACAAATAATTTGACACTAAACACATATGAATGAAGTGTAGGATCACATCAAACATTCTCATTATGTTTTAAGTATCACATTGAACATGCTAAATTACTCTGAAATGAAACAGATAGTAACACATGGAAACTGTGAACAACAAAAGAGTAAACATATGTGAATGAACTTCATCATGATTAATAATGGATTCTAAATACTCACATTAAGGTTATTCAATGACATTATAACCACCTAATGGTTAAAAATACTAAATAAACGATTAAAATATAGAACAAACATTTCTAAACCATTTCTGTTAATTAGAGCTAAGTTATGAGTCACAATCAATAAATTTAACTCTTAAAAGTTCATGAAACAGTCTGAAAAGCTGTTGGTCTAAAGATATCCGGAGTGATAATTTGGCTTCTGGAGCACATAGAAAAACGGGGAACATCTCATTTTAACACAAATTTCATGATTAGACAGATTAGTACATTGCTGAATGCATAAGATGTCAGGATCAGTCATTTGTATTCTTTCACCAAAGGAGTGCAGTCTTTATCAGTGCATGGTCGAGCAGGGTTTTACGACCGAGGTCTGGAGGTCAGTGTCCCCCCCTTTTCCTGGGGTCCGTATGTTCACACACTAAATCTCAAATGGGAGATCTGGGTTGAGACGTTAGTGTTTATTTAGATGGTCAGTGATGGAGTCAGTTTAAAAGGTAATAAAAACTCTGTCTCTGTTCTCCGAATTGACCAATCGTGAAGAGTCAGAAGTTTGGTCAACCTCCGGTTGGGTCACTTAGGCAACCTGAAAGTGTAAACAAGTCTGGAAAGATTTATATCCTGTTTCCTGGGATCAGATAAGGAAACTTTCCTGTGAGGAATGTGTGCGTTTCACACCCAGGGTTGTCTTGATTGCTACACCTGTTACATTTACATTGCTATCTGTTATGTTCTCTTTTACACATTCTGTCTAATAATAGAGACTGAAGAGACGAAAAATAATTTGTGGCGTTGTCATTGTGTGGTTCATCCCATTCATCACTTTCTTTTCATATTGTTTTTAATCCACAAGAGCAATGAGGTTGGAGGGGGCCACCACATGGAGAAGGAGGGTCTCAAAAGAAGCCTTGAGCTTCTAGAGACGAAGGGTGTGGCAGTGGACTACACTTTGTTACCGACTGACATCCACAGATTCAAAAGTTTCTGCGTTCAAAAGTTTTCTGCGGGACCACAAGCACCAGCATTTTTATGATGTCTGGCATCTTAAAAAGGGTCATTTTTGTCTCTTTATTTGATTCAATACATAATTATGCTATATAATGTAAAAAATAGTATACATCAAAAAATATACATATTAAAGAATAATAATTACAAGGTGACAAAGGTAATAGGCATTTACTAAACATGGACATGGAATCATGGGAATAGTATTTGCAAGACTTTTTCTTGTCTTTTCCTTTTCGTCTGTCCAAGAAATTGGACAAGGTGTCTAAAGACAAAGGATGCGACATTGTGAAAAAGTGGCGGCGGAGCATCAGTAACCACGTGTACTGGACAGCAATCTCCTCATCACCCAGGCCTGAAAAAGTGGCTAAATGGACCTCACTGGTGAACCACATACAAGACAAGCACAACTATGACAACCCTGCCTTTCCCAAATGCCTCCACCCTATTCAGCGGACAAAAAATCCCAAAAAATGTTTAAGCCAGGTATGTAGTCCTCCATGATACAGTATCTAACCTAATGTTGTCTGGCAAGCTTCCTTCTGTAATCTGTCAACAATCTGTCTGTAGGCTCCAAAGCTCTCTACAAACTGGAGAGAATCCTACTGAACAAGAGGGTCTTTACGGATATTGAGAAGCTCAGCTCCCAGTATCAGACCTCAACACTGGAGGCTTTCCACAGCGTTCTTCTGAGATTCACACCAAATAATGTGGTTTTCCCATTCATTGGGATGTTGTGCAGGTATGTTCACATCTAATGACTAAAAACATCCACATGTACATAACCCACCCAACCCTGTATTTGATATATCTTTGCTGTGGTTACCTACAGTCAGGCCCGGTTCTACGGGGGTGCATAAGCATGCATTGCACCCTCAGTTTATGTGGCTGCATGCTCAGTTGGAAAGAGGGAGAAGTGCGCGCGCGTCAGTGCGCGCGCGTCAGTGCGCGCGTGTCAGGGCACGTCACTCATCTGCCTGCGTGCAGCGCGCAGTTACCTGTACTAGCAAGACGCTGCTCTCTGCTGCAGCGTTAGCACAAAGTAATGGATATTCGAAAGTGGTTCCAGCACAACCATGCCAGCAAGTCAGACAGACAAGTCAGGTGGTCGTGGTGAGACAGAGACTCGATCCAAACTTGAGCTTTGTGAAGCTCAAGTAGCAGCTGCTGTTGGGGAGCAAGTAGTAGCCTCGTCCGGCTGCTCACTCCTGCCCGAGCCGCTGCCGCCGCAGCCCCCCCTCCCTTCACCCATAGGCCCAGAGCAGGCGCCCGGCCCCCCCAACGACCTAGGTATGGAGGAGCCACTTCAAATGCATTAACAGAAGTATCCATCATCAGTTTTTGGAGGAGTAAAGCGTTCCTTTTGCAGCTCATGGTTCGACAACAGAGAGTGGCTAGAGTATTCCTGCAAAAATGACGCGGTATTTTGCTACGCGTGTAGAAAGTTTGGATTTGGCCTTAGTAAAAGAGATGCCTTCACCACTAGTGGCTACAACAACTGGCACCATGCTCTTGTGCGCCATAAGGGACTGGCAAGGCATGAAGCAAGCAGAGAACACATGACATCAGTGGCGTTGTGGCAGGAGAGGATCAGAAGAGAAGGGACTAAGACTGAGGTGTCCACGCTTGTGAATGAAGACCAGCTTGAGAGAAACCGCACTTATGTGTCATCTATTGTGGACATCATTCAATTCCTGGCTGTAAACCAGCTCCCTTTCCGTGGCTCTTTTGAGGCTTTGGATACAAGAGGTGAGACAGGTAGTGGTCTTTTTTTTAGCCATGATGGATTACACACTTAAGAGGGACAAGGACTTTAAGAAGATTTTTGAGACCATCCCTGCCAATGCTAAATACACATCAAATCATATACAAAATGAAATAATTGAACTAATGAGCAAAATCATAACTGAGGAAATTGTAAATGAAATTGGAGATGTGTGGTACACATGTGCACTGTTTTAATCACCAGCTTCACCTGGTGGTAGTGAATGCCATGTCATCTGATAATAAATTGGAGAACTTATTTGGTGTATGTAACTCTCTCTACAAGTTCTTCAGGAAACCTACAGTAGCTGCAGTCTATACAGGAGAGAAGTTGAAGCGGCTGCTTGAGCAATGGTGGACTGGTCATCTGGCCACAGTGAAAGTGATCATGAACAGCTGTGACGACATTGTCCACCTGCTACAGGAGATTGAAGGCATCCCGACCATTGGAGCAGATGTGCGAATTGAGGCCACAAGGCTTTTGAAGGCCATTACCGAGCCCAGTTTTCCATTCATTGCGTGTATGACACATCAGAAATTAGGTTTGCTGGATCCCCCCAATACTGCACTCCAAGCAAAATCCACTGACCTCTACACTGGTGTTCGTCTTGTCCAAAGTGCACTTGAATGTGTGGAAGAACTTAGAAAATAGTACTACTTTCGGAAATACACAAGGTGACCATTTGCTGTGTTGGTGTGTAGCCTGATCACCCATAGCCTAAACTAGCATGATAAGTTAGATCAAATCTTATCTTATCAAATTACCATTCTTACCACGTCCATGTTCTTTCGCTCTCCGGCTTCCTCTTCAACTTCCACCTCCTCTTCAGACTCGGGGTCAAAAATGTATGGTTTAATACCTGCCATTTTTAGCCTTTAGCACACATTAGCAAAACGGATAAACCGAAATCAGAACCTCCACTGCTGAGCCAATCAGAGCACAGCAGGCTTGACAGCAGCGATCAAATCAGAGCAAAGCTCATTAACATAAATATTAATGAGCCAAAGGCAGTTAGTTGTCCTGTAAGGTTTTTTAGGCATGCTAAAATGGTTTGAAACAAACCATCAAATAACTTTTCAGCTAAAGTTATGTTGCAAACATGATCAGAGGACATCAAGGATTATGAAAAAATGATTGAAATGGGTATGAAATTTTGATGGCAGGTCCTCTTTAAGATATTTACATATTATTAGGGAAAGGACTTCAGTCATGTAAGATTGAAAATGAACTGTTACCTGAAATACATAAACAATGCTAAATTTCAAATAATACCTACGTAATAATACGTACATTTTTCGTAAGTTCCCATTTATTTCCTTTTCAGTATGCAAAAACTTAAGGAAACACTACAATAGCCAAAATGTATAAATGGTAAATATATAGTTTATTAATGTTTAATCAACATTTAAAAACAGTATATAGACCAATTATAATTGGCAAATAGATAGTTTAATAATGTAAGTTGATACTTACTTTAGCATTAACAAGCAAATAAATTATGATGAATAATTTTCATTAATTATTAATGGACTATTTATTAAAGGTTTATATAGGGTTTAAATATTGGTTGTAAAACATCTAGATTTAAATGTGTGTTAGTAGCACTTTGTAAATGGTTAATATTTGGTTTTTAAACCACCTAAAAACATTACTTAGATGGTTATTGTAAAGTTAGGGTTAGGTTTAGGGTCAGGGTTAGGGTTAGGTTAAAATTGTAAAATTTACATTTTCTCAGTGGTCTATATGCTATATATAAATGATGATTAAACATTAACAAACTATCTACTTACCATTTCTTAATGGTCTATTTACCATTCCTAAGTTATAGTTATTGTAAAGTGTTACCAAACTGAAAACTGACCAGCCGAGAAAGACCTATCTGCAGACACCCCAGACCCCTGTAAGCCTGTGTGTGGTTAAAACCTTTGTAAGAGTCAGTGTTTGAGGTAACGCACCACAATGTAAGAGATTACAGTTACAATATTCTGATCTGTTGAAGTGGTTCGTGCTTGCGTGCTGCTTGTGTGTCTGTGAAAGTAGGCAGGGGTTTGATGCTCATAAGGGTCAATTTTATCTTTTTTATTTTTTATTTGATATCAAGCCTTTGGACCATTGTCCAGCTTGTCTCTGTATGCTCTTAGAGTCTTTTCTTTCATGGGATTAGTTTTTCTTGGGTGTTTTTTTTCTCAGTGTGTTGCTATCTCGCAGCCTCCCTGTCAAATTTAAACAAATTGTTGCCTGCCGAGAAGGCGCTTTCCGACCCAACATGCATTGTGCAATCATGTGGATTTTGAAAGTCCAAAGGAGAGATCAATATGAGTGATGTAGCTGCTGATGCAAAAGAGAGATGGAAATGGAGACGGAGGCGGACGGCACAGGGGCTTTCAGCAAGTGGCAAGACTCACATTACTTCCGCTATATTAGTCGAAATGAAAAAAATATTTGTGTGAATAGTTTTTCATGCCATAATGTTTACATTTATACAATAATCAAAACGATGCAAACTATGCTCAGTGATGATTGGGCTATGATGTTTGTCCATGTACCCCGACATGGCAAATGAAGAAACAGGAAAGTAAAGTAATAAGTTACTTTTCCAATGCAGTAACTAGTAAAGTAATCTCATTACAATTTACAGATGTAACTAGTGACAAGTAACAAATTACTTTCTATGAGAACTATCCCAACACTGATAAGAACAGGCTCACTGGGAGGATAGAGCTCTGTTGAATCTCAGATGTTTAAATGGATTAAATGATCTCAACATTGAAAGGTGTTTTTTGTTCTTTCCACAACTTTAAATAAAAACTGAGCATGTGTCAGTGGAGGTCAAACTCTTGCATGTGTGGATTCAAACAGCCATACTGATTCTTAATTTGTGAAAAAAAAAATTTAAATAGTTCACTATTACAGTTAGTAATCTCACGAAGAACACATTTAATACTGATAAAACCATAGACCTTATCCACCCTTTTCCCAGCTGAGATTGAAGACAAAATATCGGCTTCCCGGAGTCTGATGACTTTTTACCATTAAAGCTTGTTTAAAAGAAGAGCAAATTTCACTGGTGGGATTGCCTTGTTTTCCACTAACCAAGCAGAAGTCCAACTTTTCATAAGGCACTCACCTACGGAGGTCCTGTATATCTGAATTTCTCTCCACCCCTGATATTTTTCCATGCTGTGTCCAGAATCACCCACTTTTTACCATTTAATGCATTTCTTTATAGGAGGTTTGCTGGTTCATTCACCACTGAATTGTGTACTGTGTAAAGAAAATCAGTCAGGAGGTCTGATGTTAATTCAGTTTAAGAGTTTCAGGAGTTTAGATGTTTTTTTCTTTCTTTTCTTAATGATGATGACAGGCAAGAGCGTGGTCTGTATGCATGAGACAGATAAACAAGGTGTGATTTCTTTATTTTCTTTTAAAAAAATCCTCTTTTTTATCATATTTGTGGAGAAAACCTCAGTAAAAATAAGTTACTGCTGAGATTCACGCCACTATTTAGTGTTGTGCTATGATTTAGAAATGTGATGTTATAACTAACTTAACAAACAGTAGTCTGATCAGTGATATGAGCTCACTATAAAGAGAAATCTCCAGAGTAAGGACATGGTAAATGAGTGAGGTATTTCAGATGCAGCTTTAATATAAACTGACTTGAGTGTTCTTCATCAGTGAACAGCACCTGGTGCCAAATGTACAGTACCTTCCCCTGTGTCCTGCAGGGAGGGAAATACAGGTCCACTGTGGCGGGATGTTGACCCCAGCCTCCTCTATCTGCTTCCCCTGATGGACAGTAGGCCTCCTCTGCAGGTGTGCATCAGCCTCATAAAGAGATGTCTGTGTGTGTCATGTTTGCCCTCTGCCCGTTTCATCATTTCAGTATCTGAATGAGGAGGGGTGGGGGAATGAGTGAGTGGACGTCTTATTTTACCAATTTATGAAGCAGCCTTCATGAGTGAGGGGCCCCTGCTGCAGTTCCTGTCGAACACACGGCTGTCTGTTTGCTCGCGGTCTGCCCATGCTGGCTTGCTGCCTCATGTCCATGCACTCCCCACCTTATACATACCACTAACTGCACTTTCACTCTTTTTTTGTCTCTCCCCACAGCCATACAATCCCTGTAATTCTCCCTCATTTCCAATCTTTCGTCTGCCTTCACCCACGCCTCAAATGTTTTTACACAGAGGGAAAATAAACCGCCATATACCAACGCCCCAGCACCTCAAATCTCCCCCATTTAGAGGGAGATTCAGGGCTTTGAGGGTGAAGAGGAGAGGGGAGGAAGAACACACGGCAGCTGCCGTGTGATTGTAAACTAAGCCGCCTTGGAAATGTTTACTTGGACATCCAATGTCATACTTTCCTTGGGTGTTGCTGTTTCTCGCTCTTCGAAAGCAGAATGGCACCTTTGTGAGTGAGAGTTCAGCGCTCTCTGCACTCTCCTCACCCCTCGGCTAGTCTTTCAAGCAAATTCTTCATCATATCCCACTATATGAGGTATGTCTCATACCTGGGCCTCAAAATATCCTTGTGACAGCCCTCATCCCCCTACTTATTTTTCTTCACTTTTGGAAAATGTGTTTTTTTTAAATCATGGTAATCCACCTCTTTTCTGCCTGATGTGTTTTCGTGAGTTCAACTAGGAGGAAGTAAATTTCAATTGAATTAACTTGCTACGACTCCTTGGTGGACATTTGCTTTGGCACCCTCCGGACTGGGTGTTTCTTTTTACAGGACAGGCTTATGTGTGTTACATAATGAAATGACAAATGAAAGTCAAGTCAGAAATGGAAAACGGATTCATCAGTGCCAAAATAATTTCCACACTTTATCCATTGAGTGGAAGTCACAACAGTTCCAGAGGGCGTTCAGTGTTTCTGTCACAAGCCTTTGGCTGCACCACCTCTGCGGTTCACTGGATCCATTCTTAACTCCTCTCTGCTGTCAGGGGTCTGGATCGGCATTTATAAACCTGAAACGCCAACATAAAGTTTGCAGTGTTTAACTTGTATTTTGAACTGGTAATCACAGCTAAAAGGGAGAATGAGCCGTCCTTGTTTGGGTTTCTAGCAGAGACCATAAGGTGTGGGGACGTTCTGTTGGGGGTTTTGCCTCGACAGCTTGGGTGGTTTAACGTATGGGCAAGAGTTTTTAGTCTGCAAGTTAAATTTAAGAGCTAAATTTGGATGAGATATTTTAAACTTAGGTAGTGGTTTAGACTTTCAGGGGGGGCTATGCTGTTCAAGGTGCTGTGTTTAAGTAGACATGTATGCTAAATGATCAAGTTTTTGACTCTTTTATTGCAGTATGCTTTCTATTTTGTGTAAAATTATATTTTTTAATGGATTTTTTGGCTTTTTTTCCCCCACACGTTTGAAGTAAACATGAGACAGTGAAAATGTCAAAAGTTTATGAGGTAATCTTTTTTTTTTTTTTTTTTTTTTAGGGGTAAGTGATGCAGATATAATCAGAAGTGGATTATGACTAGTATAAGTTAGATGTTTTTTGTTTTTTTTTTACATTTTAAACAGATGTCCTTCTATCATTACATTTTGCAGCCATGATATTCATGAGGTGAAAATCTGACATCATGGCAGTCCAGGCAAACACAAATTAAAGTGTGATTGATGGTGTCTCAATGGTAATACAAGTCTGTTAAGGATGTTTGTCTAGGTTGGCTTTTTCCTCTTTGCTATATGGTCCATTGATCTTGAAATATTACTCATTGCAGCTTTAAAGTCCTAAGACTGTAGCCTCATGTTGGTTGCAGCTCACATGTTCTCACAGAGGTCAGTTCAACCCCAATGTACTGACAGAAACCTGAAGTTACATAACAAAAAGAGCAATCACACTTGAGCAACTTCTGCCGATGGGAATCCTCTCTGTGAACCGGTACAGTTGTCGAGACTCTTTGATTGCTATCAAACTGACTGATGCTGGGACCTGGGGCCCCATGGCCCCAGAGTCTTCAGGAGCTTTAAGTTGGACAAAATGTCCCTCAGGCCAGGGCCAGGCTGGGTCAGTTTACCAAGCAGCAGTACCACAAACCCAGGGCCCATCAGATAAGATGTCCCAGGACATTACTGAGGGACTGGCCCCCTCCTCCAGGGCCCAAGCAGGGATTCCTCCAGAGCACGGGGGGAACAGCTCCCTATGGAATGCCGGGATTTGATTGATCCATGGAGGGATCACAGTAAACCTACAGACACTGATCCTGCTCTGTTTACAGACAGAAGAAAATCAAGCTAATATTATTGAGAATGAATTGTCTTGTGTTGTCAGCACTATTACACTTAAAACACTCTTTGTAGTTGATCCAGCAGCGCACATGTGGTGGACTCTTTGACCTTCTGCTCTGCACTGTCAGGACGATGATTCCTGTTTTTGCAGATTTACGCTTGATGCAGTTTGAGCATCTCACTGCTGTATTCTTTGGTTATTAATCCTCGTTCTCCTCTCTTTTACTTAAACGTCAACACTTCTTAATTCTTTGGAGTTTGTATCAAGCACTCTACTCTTGCTGCAGCTGGACATACACATTAAAATGCATTACAACAGCTACACCGAGCCTCATCTTAAGCCAATAAGTGTAACTGTTTGTGTCTGTGAGTGATTGTTTTTGTAAATATCAAAAACAACTTCATAAATTCAAAAGTATTTAATCATAAATCTTGGTGCACAAAAATAATAATTTTGAGTTATGTTATACAATATTTTATTTTAAAGGGGAATATCTGAAAAACTACCAGTTGCCAGCACTCAAACTTCAGAATAGGTTTCATAAATAACTGAATACTTAACCCATGTATACAGGGCTTTTAGTGTCCTTGCAAACAGCTACAGTGTGCCCACCTGTAAGTCAAGTCAACCTCTGATTCACTAACCTTGTAACCTGATTATCTTCTAAATGGATTTTTTACAAAAAATTTACACCCTGATTAGGGAGTGCTTTTTGAACCAGGCTGCCGAGATGTTTATTTTTGTTCTCAAAACTGACTTTTGGTGTGTTCGTGGTCTCTGCATCCAGCCTCACCCCCAATTTCCACCGCACCAGAACGGGCACTACTGCAGAACAGTGGCAGTTTTTGCTGTCTGCCAATTCCTACCAAATGCGTTTGTGAGGCGAATTTTGTGGTGAATTTCTGACAGCGGGAATTGAAAGGACTCACAAAGCAGCTACATGCAATCACGGGAAAACGAGTTGCTCTATAAAGACAGCCACACAACCATAAAAGCAGTACATTGTGTCCTTTCAGAGGATGAAATCCACTCTGACCAGACCAGTAGATCAGGTGTTTTTGTGGAGATTGGGAATGAACCATGGGTATGTGCAATATTGTTCTGTGATTTTGGACTTCTACAAGCAGCATCTCCCCATCCATGGTGTCAACAGGGTGAAATGAACTCTGAAAAGCTATGACTTGTTTGTCCTCCGCCCACATTTGCATGGTGTGAAGTACGGTCCACCTGAAACATGTAATGTTTTATTTTGAAAAGAAGACTGATGTTTTATTTTGTGTCTGTGCCCGACTTCCTTTCCACCACGGGCTAATCTGTGATGAATTTATGTGACATGCTGCGGTGTCCGGAAAAGATAGAAACCTGGCAATCGGCTACGAAGCCAGCTGAACAGTGGGGGGCCGGAAAGAAGCTAGTGGAAATTGACACATTAACTTGAATGGAAATGATCAGCGCAGATCAGCACCAACGTCCTTTTCACCACCGGTCCACATGCAGTGGAAATTTAGGGTCAAGCAGGTAACTGGAGTTTGAAGAACTTCCACATCAGCTTAATTTTTCAAGGCAGCAGGTTGGTCTGTACTCATATATTAGATATCTTGATGCACAGATTGCTAACTGTGTGCACGCCTTTTTCTTTTCTCGATCCTGCACCCGGGGAGTCCAGTACTTGGCAGCAGCAGAAAAAAAAAAACATCCTTTACTTATTTATTTATTTGTTTGTTTGTTTATTAAGAGATGCAAGACTGAACATGACAAGTAAAGGACAATATTCTAAGATACAAACAGTGGAGACAAGACAAGACAAACGCAAAAAACTTCCTTAACAGGTAGCAACTTTGGACAGCCAGACACAGAGTCCACAAACCGTGAGGGTGTTGTTTCACCAAGATATTAAAAAGTATTTCTTGATTGATGTGTGGTTTTCTTACAGAGCTGACGTTGAGCAGCGACTGAATGGTGGAAGTATTATTACATAAAACAGAAACATAAAGCTGGAGTATGATCTCCAACATGCCGAGCCAATTTTGACACCTCACAGAGTTTATCGAATTTAAAGGAATAATAAACCCTGACATGTTAGCTGGAGTCTTCTCTATCATTTTGAACTTCTATGCACTTCTTAAGCCAGAGGATTTCTGCAGCAGACAGAGGAGGCTCAGAATAATAAATGCAAAATATTTCATCTGCTGGACATCATGAGCCTTACGTAACAGGCAGTGAAGAGTTCGGTTTCTATAAAGATTTCAGATTTTAGTTTAGGGGTCAGGGTCAGCTGCCACAGACTCCTCATCACCTTTTTTTTAACCCTCTTTATGTAAAGATGAGACACTTGAACTTATTAACTGTGCTCCCAGCGCACACTCGTGTGTCTGTATAGTGACAGGACTCTTCCTCTGTCTGGATCCGGGGGGTTCACAGCATGTCTGCTGTCTGGACTCTCCCTCTACAGTGAGCCCCAGAGTTTACAGTCTGAATGGGAGTATCTTTGTGATAGCAAATGTGTGGAACAGACTGATACTGTGCTCTGCTGGCGCTCTTGACGACCTAATTTCCCATATCTTTGACTCACTATCTGAATGATTTTATGTCCTTTTCCTGCCTTTTTATTTTTATCATTGTTTTTACCCTCCTTATGTTACATTTAATGCAAAGTAATGCATTCAGTACCATATTTTCATAGAGCTCACAGCAAACTCCCTGACTGCTGAATCTGTGTGGGGACAAGTTTGTCAGTAAGGTATTTCAGTAAGGCCCTGACGTGGGCCTCAACAGCTCAAATCCTGAAGGGGTTTGGGGGGTTAGATTTACTTTTTGGTCTTTTATTCCCATCACATTTACTGGAAAACCTCTGATTACTGTAACACAGCAGATGAATGTAAATATTAGTGCAACCAAAAGCAGTGACATCCACCGCCGTCCCTCCACAAATGGCACTCCGCTTGTTAGCGCACCCACTAATCGCTGGAGGCTGTTTCACCTCCTTTGTCCAGCACATGCCACAGTTAAAACAAAGGTATGCACATGTCCACATAGTTCTGTGTTATTTATATCAAGCTGGTCATTCAACCTCCAGGAATTACAGTTACTTGTTTGGTCTGTCAGTCTTGTGGCTGAGGGCTGGTACTGACCAGAATCAGAAATTAGCTTCAGCTTGTTTGAGTTCTTCTCCATGTGATCACCCTTTTGGAATCACAGTATATTCGCTGAATTTGAAATGGGGGGAAAAGTAAGACCTTTCTCTACAGAAAGAGATGACTGAAAGGAACTATGTCAAGGTCACAAATGATATCATCCCTCAAATGTCACCATCTTGCACTTAAATGTTCCTCCCAAATGAAGAAAGACAGTAATCATTGTTGTTGTACAGCAAAGACACTTTTAGGTTAAACAACTTTATAAACGGAGGATTGTATCACAGAGGCTGTTTGTCCTTTAAAGCCACCATCACTTCACCAAGGAAAGGTGTGAGCAAGGGAGCACCTTAATGTCATATATAGCTAAATATTACCATTTTTATTGCATTAACTCCAGCTAGATATTTGCTTGACAACTGAGTAACCCCCAATTTCCACTACATCCTGAATGGCAGCAAAAAGGCTGCCAGCTTCTTTCCATCCCGCTGCAGTTCAGCAGGGTTCGCAGCCAATCGTCAGAGTTCTAATTTTTCTGGAAGCAGTAGCATGCTGCATAAATTCAGCACAGATTAGCCCGTGCTGGAAAGGAAGTCAGGCACAAAAAAAAAATAAAACATCCGTCTTCTTTTCAAAATAAAACACTACGTGTTTCAGGCGGATCGTATTTCACACCATGCAAACGTGGGTGGGGACGAACATGTCAAAGGTTTTCAGACTTCATTGCACTCCGTTAAGGAGATGCTGATTCTAGAAGTCTAGAAGTGGATCTCTTCCTCCGGAAGGACACAATCTACTGCTTATATGGTTATGTGGCTGTCTTTATAGAGACAACTCGTTATCGTGCAATTACATGGGAATCCGTGGGTTCTTGTGAGTTCTCGCAATTCCCACTGTCCAAAATCAGCCCAGAATTTGCCTTACAAACGCATCTGGTAGGAAATGGCAGACGGCAAAAATCGCCACTGTTCTGCTGCAGACCTAATCCGGATGGAAATTGGAAATTGGGGGTAAGATTCAATGACTCCTAATTCAGCCAGAATCACTCCAGAAGTTGCTGAAAGTGACCCCTAAGTCTAGTAAAGATGAAGAGTTTTTCAGCACGTGAGACCTCCCTGCTTTGTCTTCAATCACACAACCTTCGGAAACTGTTAGCAGCTGAGGTTTCTGGATGGCATATTTCAGGCTCCAGCTGGTACAAGTCCTTAAACTCTACACAAGTCTTGGATAGAAACCTGTCTGAGGCGGTTTATTTTCTTTGCATTCCAGTAAACCCTTCAAACGCCCGCAGACATAAATCCATCCATTGCGTGTCAAGATTATCATTCTTGTGCAGGGCAGCATTTTGTTCAGTAGGGGGTTCATTTTAGCAAAAGAAAAAAAGTGTATTGTGTCTTTGTTTGAGAGCAGTGAACACAGATGCTGCTGATATTTACAAAATGCCCCACACTAACCTGAAACAGTTCCTTTCTGTTTGTAAAACTTGAGCTATGAGACTTAAAATGAAGATGGGCAGCGTCTCACCACAAAATAACTTCATCTCAAGAGTTTTTAACATGACTTCAAGCATTTCCTTGTTTGTCTGAATACTTGAATTCACCACAAAATATTAACAAATGTCACTTGTTGCAAACAGAGGCTGGTCATGGATGGGCAGCAGCATGTGTCTGTCTGACATCTGCACAGAAATGTTTTGTTGGGTCAAGCTAATGAAGGACTGGTACGTTCTTATTCTGAAGCAGGAATGGTGAGCGACAGTTCAGCTGTGGTTACATGTGTGTTTTGTTGCCTTAAAGTG